CCTTTATAATGGATAGCACACTTAGCAGGTTTAAAATACTTTATTTTGGGAAATTTACCCTTAGGTTTGTTTTAATCTTGTTTTCTATATTCACAAATTAATCATGACCAACTTAGATATGGTCACTGATTCTTCTTCCTAAATCTGTTTAAAAAGAAGTTTTCTTGAAAATTCACAGGAAAAATGCAATTGGTTTCTTTTTTGCCAAAGCCATCACTCACTCTGGTTAGATTGTACCATTAAGTTTGATTGGCAGCAATACTTTCTGGATAGCCATAGTACTTTTAAATGTTAACAGAGTTAAAACCGTACCCCTAGATCACCAGTTTAAAGAGAAGCTGGATCATTTGACTTAAATGAATATGTACCAAACGTTTAAACAATTTAAATAGGTTATGAGAAAAACGTTTTTTAAAGTTGCTAACATTTATTAAGCATTTACCATGTCTAGCATATAGTAAGTACTTTATACACATTCTCTCAATCTTTCTGAATTCCTTTGAAGTAGGGAAGGTACTTTATAAATGAAACTTTACAGATGAAAAAAGTGAGGTTGGAAGTCTTGTTCATCAGCCCAGGATCACCCAGCTAGGACGGGGGAAGCCGGTGCTTGGACTAGGTCTCTCTCTTTACAGCTGGATTCTCGTCACTATACCATCTTGCAGGTAGGTGGGGCAGGTTAACTTAACGACTAAACCAAAACCAAATTCACTACTGTCAAATGGATTCTGTCTGACTCATAGCAAACCCTCCCTGGGTTTTGAAGCAGTATCTCTACGGAAGTAGATTGCCCAGTCTTCCTTCTGAGAAGTGGCTGGTGGGTGTGAACCGCCAGCTTTCTGGTTAGCAGTCAAGTGCCTTAGGGACTGTGCCACCAGGGCTCCCGATGCCTATTCAATTCTGACTCACAATGACCCCATAGAACTTCCCTTATAGGGTTTTCTAGGCTATAATCTTTAAGGAAACATATTGCCAGGTCTTTCTCCCTTAGAGCTGCTGGGTGGGTTTGAACCACCAACCACCAACCTTTCAGCTAGCAGAGTGCTTAACTGTTGTGCCACCAGGTTTCCTTATTATGCCTACCGGTCCAGGAAAACCCTTCTTGTGTCAGGTATGTGAACCACAGCACAAGCAACAGATTATTGAGAATCATGATCCACTTTAATTTTTATACTTATACATGTACATTTGTATATACATAGAGAAAGTGCAGGTAAACCAATGTAATCAGTACTGTAACAGCTATTTATTACTTCCAGACTTCTCCATACTCTTAGCCATTTCTAAGCCATTGCATTTGAATTCTCTCCTTGTATTACTACAGGATTTACTATGGACAGGAGCTGTAACTCCTGGAAGGCACTGCCCTTCAGTATACTGCACAGCTGGAATTGTACGGTAGTCCCAGCTTATTAAATGAAAGTGTTAGTTGACACAGTAGAAAGAGGGTTTTTTTTTCCCCTATAAAAGATGTAACATTTAAATTAGGTATTTTTGGAAATTCTTAGTGCTCTTTCTACACCTTTCGTAAGCTGGTGAACCTCAGTAAATAAAACCAGAACATCCAACTTACTCTCCCTGCCAACTTCTGGACCAATTAACATCAGTATTAACAGTGGTATGCTGGTAAATGTTTAACAACTAGCTTTCCAAAAGCCATTACTGTTGGAAAAGAAATGGCACCAACAGACTTGCTCGAAGCAGGGTCGCTACAACCTTTGATTTGTTAAAAAAAAAAAAAAAAGCAAAAAAAACCAGTATCTGTGAAGCACTGTATTTTTCTCTAATTTGTCCGACTCAGAACTGCTCCACAGGGTTGCCGAGGCTGTAAATCTTTACAGAAGCAGACTGCTACATCTCTCTCCTGTGAGGTGGCTGATGGGTTTGAATTGCCAACCTTTTGGTTAGCAGTCAAGTGTTTAGCTACTGCATCACCAGGGCTCCAGGAGAAAGGAGAATGTCATAATTTGTAGGTTTTTCCAATTTCTATGGTGTAAATACTTCCATCATGGCTGATTTCCAGCTACCAACATATTGAATGGGAGTTGGGAAGAAATGTGCAGTAGCACACCACTGTATGACATTTCACCATACAGGTACAGTAGATGTCATTAACCTCAAGAGCATAAATAATAATCAAATGTAGCAAAATAATTAGGAAGTGATGAGCTTTGAGTATGTGTCACCTTTATTTTTAATATCATTTATCTAAGTATATAATTGGGAGCTCTCGTAGCATAGTGGCTAAGACACTTGCCTGCTAACCAGATGGCTGGCGGTTCAAACCCACCAGCCACTCCTCGGAAGGAAGGTTGGGCAATCCTACTTCCGCAGTGATACTGCCTCGGAAACCCAAAAAGGGGTCGCTATGAGTCGGGGCCAACTCAGTGGCACATAACAACAACAACAACAACAACAAGTATATAATTAGATTTTTAATAATGGCGGTGTTTAACAATGAGCTCTCAAAGTGAAAATTCAACCATCAGCTAGTACCAGCTCGTACAAGTGAGTTCCAGCATACCACTGAGTTAGTGTCCCAAAGATAGCAAGTTTCAGCTTTTGATGTTTTAGAATATAAATGAACAGGAATCAGTAGCAGGAATCTAGGGACTTTGGACTATCAAGAAGTAAAAACACATAAATCCTTTGAGCATGCCCGAGAATAACTTGGGGTTTGCTGTGATTAATTTAAAATATATTTACATGTAGCAATGATCATTGAGCTTTATAATTTTAACCTAATTTTCCAATTTCAGCTAGGAGTGATCATCAACCCCAGGTATGGTCCACGTGTGAGGTGGTAGATGGGTAAATGTATGGCAAGCTTCTTTCCCATGTGGGATAGAATCCTGGAAGCTCTTAACCAAGAGTCTGAGCCGGGGAGAGGAAGACAACTGGAATAGCCAGGTAAACTCCTAATGATTTGCCTGGAAAGACCCAGGTCTCATGACTCAATTTAATGTCTTCTACTCAATCAAGTATTAGTGGAGAGGATTTGAACAAAGTTGTCCATGAGGTTGCTTCTACCTCCACCCCTAGTTTTGCAAACACTGTGGTCCGTGTTGGTGTTCAGGCTGGAAGTCTTCACGTGCCTTCTTCCTCCAGTTTTCTCTCTCTCTGGTAGCACTCAGAATTCTCCATCCCAAATGGTTTATCTTGGGTAGGAACTACAAAAGAGAAAGGAAGCAGCATGTTCTAGCAGCACTGATTCGTTGCAGTAATTATTCATTCCGAGAGCTTACCCAGGCTTTTGTTTCTGTCATTTTGTGGCTCATTAGGGAGCAAAGTGAAAAGTCAGACCTGCTACTGTGGATGAAATGTTGTTGGAGGCAGTTTGTGGAGACTCATGGCTATAGGGCTTGGGGAACATATTTCTTTTTGCCTGTCATGAATTGAATGTTGTTGGGTTCCTGCCAGTCGATTCCAACTTCCAGTGATACCATGCCCCAGAGGGTTTTCTTTTTCTTGAAAAAAACTTTTTATTGTGAGTTGAGTGAACATTTAAGAGCAGATTTGATTCCCATTGAACAATTCATACACATTTTGTGACATTCGTTACAATCGCCACACTATACCAGTATTCTTCCACTTCCTGCTTGTGTTCACCATTTTCCTCCATCCTTCTTTCCTGTCTCTTTCTGCATTTTGAGCTTTATCCCTGGGCAAATGTGGCCCTTTTGATCCCACGTGATTGATTATTCTAATGAGCGCACACCTTCCTGGTGTTATTGTTCACTTTATAGGCCTGTCTGTTGTTTGGCTGAAAGTGGAGCCACGGGGGTAAGTTCAGTTCCAGGCCTGAAGGGTGACTAAGGGCCATAGTCTTGGGGGTTCCACCAGTCTCTATAAGACCAGTGAGCCTGGTCTTTATTATTTTGAGTTTTGTTCTGTATTTTTCTCTCATTTGTCCAGGACCTTCTATCGTGATCCCTTTCAGAGTTCCCCATGGGGTTTTCTTGGCTGTAATCATCATGGGAACAGATTGCCAGGTCGTTTTCCCATGGAGCTGCTGGGTGAGTTTAAATTGCAAATCTCTTGGTTAGCAGCTGAGTGCTTAACTGCTGCATTACCAGGGCTCCTTCATTAAGTGTTCCTTATTTGCTGTTCAGCAAGTATTTACTGAGTGTGTGTCCTAAATGAAAGTGTTCAGTGCTGAGCTAGGCAGCAACCAGTACCTGCCACCTCTGCAGACCAGCTGTAGTCAGGGCTGTGTTTTTGGACCCCATTTTCCTTCTGGACCTTGAAACTGAGTGTTTTGAGGGGTAGTATGTCCACCCAATGAAAGATAGGGCTGTGGGTGCCTATTCCTTCCGTCTTTCTGTGATTGTTTTCCCTTTTATAGCGAGGACGAGAGCTCTGTCTGGGCATGTTCTCTTAGGAGCTGGCCAGGTGCACAGCCGACACAGCTGCTGGGCACTTCGAGAGCTCAGGCGGAAGGGCAGGTGAGGCTCAAGATTATGAAAATAGCTTTGGACTCCCCCTGCCTGAGGTCTCCAGGAGAGAGACTATTCTTAGGAGGTGCCTATTCCCTGAAGGAACTTTACTTTGCCACTTGGCCCAAAGCACTTCTTTTTAAAAAAAGAGATTTGGACTGGAGTCAAAATCCTGAACTGCAGAAAGATGGCCAGTTAGGCCACTGGGCCAAGTTCCAGCCAAGGAGGCCAGCTCTGCCTCTGAATGCATTGAAGAAGCTGGAAAGAGAGTCTTGGCCCATGGTTCCATGGCATAGTGGGTACAGGAAGCCATGTTCACAATCATGCCACTCTCCCAATGGAGAAACCATGAGTCAGCCTGTCCCACTTCCACCTGCCCTAAAAGCCCAGTGCAATTGCATGATGGAGCAGGAAGAGGGAGAAAGGAAGCTGTAGAAAAATAAACATTTCCTTGCATTTTACTTAGAACAAAACACCATTTGTGGCGTGCTAAGATCCATAGCATTCCCCCCTCCTCCCCCGGCTATTTTCCTCCTCGTGTGTAGCAACAGAGTCTTCCCTTACCTGATGAGAGTCCAGGATGCATCCTGTGGAAAAACAGGAGCAAGATATAGAAGGCAAAAGCCAGGCAACCAAAGATCACACCACAGACCAGGAAACTATAGCTGCCCTGAGCCTGGAATATCTGCCAAAGGGGAAAACACAGGGAGATAGGGTGTTAAAACCTCACGTGGAAGATGTATTGGAGGAAGCGGCCCTCAAGCCCTTGGCAGGCTTTTCAGTCAACTTGAGGCCCATTGTATCAATACAGAGATACATGGACAGGAGGGCGGTCTTGGCCTCGTTTCATGGTTATGTTTCTGGAGGAGGCAGGAATCCTGTTCTGAGGCAGACCTTGGACCTAGTGACCCCTCTGCAGTCCTTTTCAGCTTGGTGTTCTGGAATCTTCTGAAAATCTCTATGTTACCATGGAATCTCCAACCAAATTAGCTGTTTCTATACTCACAAAGCCTAATCCAACCTTTGCAGAGGATAAATACACACACACACACACACACACACATATTTACCTTTTTATTATGGAAATTTAAAATACGTGCCGAAGGAGCATATGGAATTCCCATGGACCCACTTTAACAACTAGCAGCAGTGTCATCCGTACCCCTTCACGTCTTCCCTGCACTAGATTATGCTGAAGCAGATCCCAGACATCACATCATTTCAATGCACAGGATATCATAGACGTTTTTCATCCATGGGGGGAGGGGAAAAGAGGAAGAACAGACACTTGAGTGGTGATTAGGGGCATTTTGGAGACTGAAAGACCTAGGTTGGAACATCACTTCTGTCATTTACCAGCAAGGTGACTGACCTAGGGTAAGTTGCTTCATTTATCAGAGTTTCAGTATCCTCTTTTGTAAAAACGAGAATAGTATCATCTACATTAGTTGCTGCTGAGTCAATTCTGACTCATGGGGAACGCGTGTGTGTCAGAGTAGAACTGGACTCCACTGGGTTTCTCAGTGGATGATTGTCAGAAGTAGATCACCAGGCCTTTCCTCCAAGGAGGACTTGAACTATCAACCTTTTAGTTAGCAGCCAAAAACGTTAATCATTTTCATCACCCGGGTACTTTATATCTACTTCAAACTACCCATGTTTCATTTGTTCACTAGGAAAAAAAGGACTAATGTCAGCTTTTTATTAAATACTAAAAAAACCTAACCCAATAACAAAAACTCACTGCTATTGAGTCCATTCTGATGCATAGTGATGCTATAGGACAGAGTAGAACTGCCCCCATAGGGTTCTGAGGCTGCAAATCTTTACAGAAGCAAATTACCTCATCTTTCTCCCACACAGCAGCTGGTGGGTTCGAACTGCTGACCTTTTCATTAGCAGCCGAATGCTTTCACCACTATACCACCAGAGTGCCTTTATTAAATATACCCCCCCCCAAAAAAAAAAAAAAAACTAAACCCACTGCTGTCTGTCAAGTTGATTCCAACTCGTAGAGACCCCCATTGGGTTTCCGAGGCAGTAAATCTTTATGGAAGTGTATTGCCCACTCTTGCTTCCATGGAGTGGCCGGTGGGTTTGAACCACCAACCTGGTTAGCAGTTAGATGCCTTAGGCACTGTACTACCACAGCTCCTTATTAAATACTCCAGTACTCCTTTTTTTCCTAGTGAAAAAATGAAACATGAGTATGTTTGAAGAAAATTGGGAGAACTGCACCTTAATCAAGGTAGGAGTTGAGCAGGAAAGCTGGGCCCTATGCAGGGTGGCCAAAGGCTCTGAGAGGTGGGGTAGGGAGTGGTAGGCTGAGATGGGATGGGAAAGGAACTCTGACTGCAGTTCAAACCCATCTTGGGCTGTGACAGCCAAACAGCCATTCCCACAGGCCCCTTGGGCCCCACTCCCAGGCAGGCTCCTGTTTGCTTTGGACTTGACCACACATCCTCTTACTTCTCTGGGTCCCCCAGGTGGCAGCTCAGCTCTCAAGGCTGCCTCTGAAACGGTCACAGATACCATAGGCACAGTGGGCCATGCCAGAGAAGATCCTAGTGGGGTTGAGAAGGTGGCCACTAGCATCCTCTCACGTGCTCTGAGGTATTCCCAGTTGTCCCCCAACCTAGAGTTTCCCACATACCGAACCAACCAGTAGCTGGAGCACCATCTCGCCGAGTCCTGCCCCTGTTACCAGCACCGTGGTCGCACAGCCTAACAAAAGAGAAGGATTTGGTTTGGTAGAAGCAAGTTAAGGGGACGGAAATCAGCTGTCCTAGTGCAGGCTGTTCTAGGAAACCTCTGGAAAATGGTATGGCTGTCTAAGAGGACTACTTTGGATTCCTACAATTTCTCAGACTTTAACCCTCAACACTGCTTTGGGAATGCTTAGGTCATGCTGTCATTATATTTCCTCCTTGTTCTGAAACGTTCCATTGCTCACAATTGTCTTCAGGGTAAATTCCAAGTTGCTTAGCCCAGCATTCAGGCTCTTCCCAATCTGACTACCACCCACCTTTCCAGAAATATGTCTTGATGCTGTCAAGGGCAGGAGCTGGGCAGAAAAGCCCTCTGCTGCAGGCACACAGTGTCCCAGCTGCTCTGGCGCTGCACCGATGGGCCACACGCCTCTGATGAGCCTGACCACCTAGTCAGAGCCCAAGCTGCTGAGTCAGACTTGGGTTCTAGTCCCATCTCAGTCACCTTAGGCAAGTTCTCTAATTTTTCTAGGTCTTGGTTTCCTTCTCTGTAAAAGGATGCATCACAGCACCTGCTTCATAGGGAGGTGTGGGTAGCTCTGCAATAAAACAAAAAAAAACAAAACAACCCACTGCCATTGAGTTGATTCCAACTCATAGCGACCTCCATTGTGTTTTCAAGGCTGTAAATCTTTACAGAAGTAGATCGTCCCATCTTCCTTCCACAGAGCAGCTGTTGGGTTTGAACCACCAACCTTCTGATTAGCAGGCAAATGCCTTAGGCACTGTGCTACCAGAGCTACTATGATGCATATAAACTGCTTAACAGCATAGTTTTGCACACCGTACATGCATAAAACAGGCCAGCTCTCTGCTTAAACCCTTCAATACTGCCTTTAGGATGAAGTCCACATAGTTTCATGTGGTCTGAGGGCCCTTTGCAATCTGCTCCTCCTGGTAGCTCAGACCCAAGTCTTGCTCAGGGTCTACCCTGGAGTCAGGATGAGATGCCCTTGGCCTTGTGACCCTGCACACTCACTGCCAGGTTCGAGCATTCACATTCTCTCTCTCCTAAACATTCCTCCTAACTCTTTGTCTGGCAAACTTCTGTTAATCTCTTAAGTCCTCATGTATGAGTCCCTGGGTGATGCAAATGGTTAACGCAGTCAGCTGCTAACAGAAAGGTCAGAGGTCTGAGTCCACTCACAGGTGCCTCAGAAGAAAGGCCTGGCAACATATCCCCGATAACGCAGCCATTGATAACCCTATGGAGCACCGTTCTGCTCTGACATACCATGACATACCGTTCATGGTCACCATAAATTAGGTGGACTTGATGGCAACTGCAGGAGCTCTGGTGGCATAGTGCCTAAGGCATCTGACTGCTAACCAGAAGTCTGGCAGTTCAAATACACCAGCCACTCCTCAGAAGGAAGATTGGGCAATCTATTTCTGTAGTGATACTGCCTTGGAAACCCAAGGAGGGGTCGCTGTGAGTTGGATCTAATTTGATGGCAGTGAGTTTGGTTTTTGGTTTTTGGTGATGGTAACTATTTTTTTTTTTTTGAGATTTCCTTCAGTAATTTCCTGCACTACCTCATCTGTGTTCCCACAGTACCCCCACCACCACTTACCCCACTGTCCATTTATCTGCCAGCCTTATCCACTGAGCAAAAGGCCATGAGAGGAGAATTGGGCCTGGGACTTTGGTTCAATGGTGTGTCCAGAGCTTGTTAGCACAGTGGCCAACACAGAGTAGACACTTAACGTGTTGACAAAAACCTCATTATCATCTACTCTGGGCTTCAAGTTCCCTCCAGCTCTTTCAGTCTCAGTCACGGTGCTGTCTGTCTCTGCCCTCTGCTCCCATACTGTTCACTACCCCACCCCCTTCTTGGAATGCTTTCCTTTTCCTCTCTGCCTTTCCATATCCTGGGCCAGCTCACATCCCATCTCCTCCACAAAGCTACCTCTAGATTCAATACTGGCTATTTCCATCTCTGAATTCCAGTAGCCAAACAAACAAACAAAAAAAAATCAAAATCAAAACCCACTGCCAGTGAGTCGATTCCAACTGATAGCGACCCCTCTAGGGTTTCCAAGGCTGTAACTGTTTATGGAAGTAGACTGCCTCATCTTTCTCCCACAGAGTGGCTGGTGGGCTCAAACTACCAACCTTTTGGTTAGCAGCCCAATGCCTTAACCACTGTACCAGCAGAGCTTATTCCATTCATTCTTTCAGAACACCTTGAGGACCTTTTGTGCATCAGGTACTGTGCTGAACACAAATAGTACACACAGGAGGAGGTGCACACAAATAGTAAGAGATAATGTATATTGAGCACCTGTGAGCCAGGCACACCACTAAACCAAGAGCTTTAGATGATACCTCTAAATAATCCCGTGTGCACCCCCATTTTAAACCAAAAGCCAAACCCACTGCCATCAAGTTGATCTCAGCTCATGTTGTTGTTGTTGTTGTTATGTGCTGTTGAGTCAGACCCGACTCATAGTGACTCCTCCTTGGGTTTCCAAGGCAGTATCACTACGGAAGTAGATTGCCCCCAACCTTCCTTCCGAGGAGTGGCTGGTGGGTTTAAACCGCCAGCCTTCTGGTTAGCAGTTAAGTACTTTAGGCACTATGCTACCAGAGCTCCTATCTCAGCTCATAGTAACCCTACAGGACAGAGTAGAACTGTCTCATAGGTTTTCCAAGGCTGTAAATCTTTACAGAAGCAGACTGCCACATCTTTCTCCCACAGAGTGGCTGGTGGGTTCAAACTGCCAACCTTTTGGTTAGCAGCCAAATGCTTTAACCACTGAGCCACCAGAGCTCCTTCCAGTTTTTTGGTTTTTTTTTTTTTTTAAACTCACTGCCGTAAAGTCGTTTCCAACTCATAGTGACCCCTCCTTGGGTTTCCAAGGCGGTATCTCTACAGAAGTAGATTGCCCAGCTGGTGGGTTTGAACCACTAGCCTTCTGGTTAGCAATCAAATGTCTTAGGCAGAGGGGAAGGAAATTGTATAAGATCATAAAGCCAGTAAGTGTTGAATTAGGATTTAGTCAGGTCTGCTGAGGACTTGTTTTTGACCTTGTCCCTTGCTGGTGCCCACAGGGAGCACATGCCCAGGAGAGGAGGCAGATCATGTAGATACTGAAGCCCTGACTGGGCTGAACAGGACAGGCAGAGACACTGTGCAGTGAGGCACCAGGGAGGAGGATCACAGAAGCTTCCTGGAGAATGGAAAAGAGGGCTGAGTGGGGTCTGGAAGGACAATAGGCAGATAAAGGGGTGATATGGGGTGGTCAGGCATTCTCAGCAGAGCATTTAGCATGGGCTGGGAGAAGGAGACAGAGCAGTTTCATGCCATCTGAGAACACCAAATACATCAATGTGGCCAGGATGTGGGGTGTGAAGGGAAGCTAGAGAAAGGAAGAGAACTCCACAGGAAGACATGAAGGCTGTGTTTTCAAAGGACCCTTGACACCATGGCTTAGTCAGTGGCCCTCACCTCTGGCTACCTGCTATGATCCCCTGGGAGGTCCAGGCCATGAACTCAGACTTTCTGGAGGTGAGGGCCAGCCATTGATCAATCAGAGTTGGTTAGAAGTGTTCCTGGTGATTTGAATGTTCAGCCAGGGTTGAGCCCATTGAGTCAGGTAGAGGTAAGCCAAGGTGTTATTAAAACAGTCCAGGCAAGTAAAGGACGAGAAAGACCTGAACTAAGGCAGCGGCAGTGAGCAATGAAGAGGGCGGATTTGAAGGATGATTTACAGGCAGAATTGAACAATATAACTTATTGTTATCGTTGTTATTACAGAAAAGCCTTCAAAGCTGGAATCTGTGTATGGAAGAAACCTTTCAGAGAAGTAAACACATACATTTTCTATTAAAGTATCTCTGGTAGTGTGGTGCCTAAGGCATTTGACGGCTAAACAGAAGGCTGGCAGTTCAAACCCACCAGCTACTCTGCAGAAGGAAGACTGGGCAATCTACTTCCATAAAGATTTACCACCTTGGAAATCCAAAGGGGGTTGTTATGAGTCAGACTCAACTCGATGGCAGTGGGTCTGGTTTGGTTTAATAGAGTGATAGAAAAGTGGTAATACTTCATCCTGTCCAAGGCAGAAAACTTGTGAGACCTGGACAAACAAGGCAGTCCTGTTGAGTTCCAGCTCTCACAGGTTTCACTGTGCTTAACGTGTTGATCACATAAACCTTGTGGGATAGACTGTGTTACGCATGATACCAACATTATTTCACTGTTCTGCTTACTCCCTGGAGGTTTCAAGACTTGAGGGGCGAGGAAGGAATCTGAGCGCTCTCCCACCCAGGCAGCTGGTGTCTGTTCCTCCCTAGGACAGGTGGAGGGAGAGGTGGTGTTTCCTTGGGCATGTCTTGGGAGACCCAGCACTGTGGCCTTAGTGCAGAAAGATGGGTGAATGAGTATCCAGATGGTTGGCCACTGGTGACTGCATGAGGCATCTTCTCTCATTTTCCATCAGGGTCAGGACTTCCTTAGAGCCATAAAACCAAAAAAGAAAAAAAAACCCCACCAAACTCACTGTTGTGAGTCAGATGCGACTCATAGCGGGCCCTCCTTTGGTTTCTGAGGAGTTATTACTACGGAAGTAGATTGCCCAACCTTCCTTCTGAGGAGTGACTGGTGGGTTTGAACCAGCAGCCTTCTGGTTAGCAGTCAAATGCCTTAGGCACTACACCACTACAGCCATAATGCAATCACATTTATATCAGACCTGTCCCTGATTCTGAGGGGGTCCTCAGACCATGTGTAGTTAACTCTCACTCAGAGGAGCTGAAAGCTATAACTCAAACACATTTGATTCCTTAGTTCATTCTATTGCACGAACTGTTTTTTCTTCTAAATGACAATTGCTAAACAGTATGGTCTCACCCAAATTTCAATATACATATAGTGAAACCTGGGAGCTCTGGTAGCATAGTGCCTAAGGCATTTGACTGCTAACCAGAAGGCTGGTGATTCAAACCCCCCAGCCACTCCTTGGAAGGAAGGTTGGGCAATCTACTTCCGTAGTGATACTGCCTTGGAAACCCAAGGAGGGGTCGCTATGAGTCGGGGCCGACTCGACGGCACATAACAACAACAACATAGTGCATAAGGGACTTGACTGCTAACCAGGAGGCTGGTGATTCAACCCCCCCAGCCACTCCTCGGAAGGAAGGTTGGGCAATCTACTTCCGTAGTGATACTGCCTTGGAAACCCAAGGAGGGGTCGCTATGAGTCGGGGCCGACTCGACGGCACATAACAACAACAACATAGTGAAACCAGCGAGAGCTGGAACTCGATGAGACTGTGTTATTTTCCATGTCTCACCAGTTCTCTGCCTTGGACAGGGTGCAGTCTTACTGCTTTTCTGTCGCTCTCTATTAGTGGAAATAGTTGCATTTTCCTTCTCTGACAGGTTTCTGTCTTACATAGATTCCAGGTTTCGTAGGTTTTGCAGTACATTTTTTTCTGCCCAAAAGGAATCCAGGAGGAAACAAATCAAACTGACAGGGTGTGTCTCAGCTCCCTTGACTTCCAGCTCTACAGACTTTTATTCTTTGAAGCCTTTGCAGTGAGTATCTACTATTATTATAATAAAAAATTCCATTTTGAAAACAAAAAATTTGCACATTCATTGTAGAAAATATTTGATTCTTTCTTAACGGCTGCTGCTGCTGTTATATACTGAAATTACTTGGGAATTCTCCTTAGATTTGAAGGACCCAGGCTCTCCTAGTCTCTCATTACTGTGGATAACTGAGACTCCAAACCTCCCTACTCACTCCATCTCCCCTACTCCTCTTATTTTGCTAATGCTGGTTTTCCAACACTGTAGGGTGTCTCTTGTTCTTCTGAACACTACATGTTCAAAATACAATTAATTTTAATTAACTCATTAAAAAAGGTCTTTTTGCCACATGCACTTGGAAGCCTAGGGAGAGTGGAAGGGGATTAGTGGAGAGAAGAGAGGTTTCTGACAACAGAGAAGCTGTGTCACAGCCCCAAACCAGGTGTGGAGTCACTGTTCTAACCCCGAACCCTTCAGATGACATCTTCAACAATAATAAAGCAAGGTGGTACTATTACTGATAATTAAATTATAAAACACCTTGCCTAGGTCATAATGTTTCCTACACAGCTTGGCTTTTCTTTTGAACTTGGAATTCTCAGCACATGCATGTTACACAAAATGTCAGCTAGAAGTCAGTAGACATTACTATGGGAAAAAAGGAAATGGAAAAGGAACCCTTACTTCAGGCTTCTCTGCAGCTTGAAATCACATTGACAGAGGTATAATTTTGAATGGAGGTAGCCATGTGGGTCCGGACAGAGCCCCATTTGAGAACTCATTCTCACCAAAGTCAGGAGGGAAGCACTCATTTCTCTGAGGAGCTCCGGTATTATCTTCTAGCTGGAAAATGGTCCTGGCCTCCAATATCAATATCAAGCATATGGGGAAGTGGGGGAAGGAAGTGGTGTTCAGTCAAAAGGAGACAGGCTCTTTGCTCTCAGCCCCTACACTCACCTTTGTATTGGAGGATGTCCTCAGTGTAGGCTAGCATGCTGGGAAAGGTGCTACTGAGGAACAGCCCCAGACTCGCTGTCCCCACAAACAGGAAGATGACGTTGTAGGAGAAAATGAGAAGCACGAGGAATGTCGCCACCACGCCGACCTGTCACAGCAGAGATTGCGGCTTAGAAATTGGGAAAAGCTGAACATCAATTAGGAGTGAGGAAAGACCGAGGCGTCAGAAAAGACCTGCAGACTTGGAAAGTGTCCGCGTTAGTCCCAGGGGCAGTGCTGCGTAACCGATGCGCCACCCCGTGGTAAATATAGGAGCTGCAACTTTTATATTCTGGTATGCACCAAGGAAGCCCCGAGAATCAAAGAGAGCGCAGGGAGGCGACCCCACCTAGCTCTATGGAAAAGGCATACCAAATCTGCTCTCTGTGCATTTGGTGAGTGAACACTGCCTGTCCCCAAGGTCTTATCTGCACCCACGGGTAATTCCATCCAAGTCATCAGCTTTCTGCTCCGCCGGCCTGGCTAGTATAATAGAAGCTTCTTCTTGTTTCCTAAAAGCTCACAGTAAATGGGGCCAAAAGTGTGCAGAGAGGAACCCATTGGGTAGCAGGAAAGGCAGGGTGATGCCTGCAGTATCCCCATCCTCTGGGAATCCAAGCAAATCTCACAGAATGTCAGTAGCTATGGCAACCAGTGTGGCTTCCTCCAGATTCAGCTGGGATTCCCACGGATAGATTCTAACGTGTGGTCGGGCACATTTGTGATGGCCTAAATGACCCGTATGATGACTCATATTCCAGCCAAGCAAGTTGTTTCCCACCTGTGGCTCCTTTAACAGTGGCCTCTGCCAGGAAAGCTTGGGAGGGTTCATGCTTCTAGTTCGGTCAGGGTCTCTGTCATATATTTTGTTAAAATAACCCTATTTCTTTCTTTCTTTTTTTTTTTTTTACTGTTGCAAAAATATAGATAATATAACCTTTGCCTATTCAACATTTTTTACGTGTACAATTCAGTGACACCAATCTCATCAATCATGTTGCACAACCAGCACCAATATCCGTTGCAAATTTTCGGAAACAGTTAACTCAGTGCTTCCTAAATGATGGTTTACCTCTTCCCTCTTCCCCCCCGCCCCTGGTAACCACAATGAAACCCTACGCTCTGTACCTTTGCCTGTTCTAGGCATTTCCATATTAGTGGGCTGAGTGAAAAAAGTAATTTATGAAAAATAACCCTATCTCTTTAAAATGTTTTTATTTCAATATTGAATACTTTCTATGCAAAACCCCTCTGTGAAGAAATCTTAGGTAGCACGAGATTAGGAGTAAGAAAACACAAGTGTAAGTGTTTTTACCAGCATTCATGAAGGCTCCACTAAAGCAGGTTGGTTAAATCATATGGATAATAAAGGGGTTCTCTCTGTACAGTGTGAACTTTTAGACAAATATTAGCATTCATGTATACACTTTTCTTAATAAAGAAGCAAACGTTCGACTGCTAACCAAAAGGTCGGCAGTTCAAACCCACCAGCTGCTCTGCGCCGTGCAGGAGAAAGATGAGCCTGTCAGCTTCCATAAAGTTTGCAGCTTTGGAAACTCTATGGGGCAGTGCTACTCTGTCCTGTGGGGTCGCTATGAGTCAATATCAACTTGATGGGACTGGGTTTGGTTTCTCTGTTTTCTTAATATCTCAGCAGACAAGAATCTTTTGTGGAAGCCCATAGAAAACAGAGCTTTAAGGCAAATCTTGCCAGGTGAGTGTTACGTGTTTCTAGAAAAAATAAGGTACAATCATAAAGTATAGAAATGGAAGATGTGTAAGAAATCATATCTGCTCTGGTCCACACCCCGGTCTGCTTTACAGGTAAGGGACTGAGACTGCAGAAAGAAAGAGATTTTAATAGAGTCACTGGAGGAGGAAAAACACCCAGTGATCCCGGCCTGTGACCCTCACCCTTCACTCTCTTTCACCAGCCCCTCAGTCTCTATGCCACCAGAAGTCTTAGGTGTGAGGTGTTCTCCTGGAACCAGGCATCGAGACTCAGGGTCTTTACCTAGAAAGGCTTCCTGTTCCTGGGGAGGAAGTAGCCACAAAACATTGGCTGAAGAAAACACATTCTCTTCACATTGTAAAAACCAAAAAACCAAACCCATCACTGTCAAATCAATTCCAACCCATAGCCAGCCACCCTTTAGGACAGAGTAGAACTGCCCCATAGGGTTTCCAAGGCTATAAATCTTTATGGAAGCAGACTGCCTCATCTTTCTCCCTTGCAGCAGCTGGTGGGTTTGAACTGCTGATCTTTTGGCTAGCAGCTGAATGCTTTAACCAATGCACCACTAGAGCTCCTCACATTGTAAAGGCAACATGAAAGACCTCTTTCATGCAGTGAAAATACAAAAGCAATGGGCAGATCTGTGGTTCCAATATCATGTATTTCCTTGGTACAAACACACATCCTATTCTTTCTTCCTCCTCTGTTCAATTTTTAAATGTTGGAGTGGCTCAGGACTCTATTCTGGCTCTTTTTTTTTTTTATGATTGTGATTTGGGTGAAAGTTTACAGAGCAAATTCACTTTCCATATAGCAGCTCACACACACTTTGTCTCATGACCTTGACTACAATTAACCCCAATGCAACAGCTCCCCTCCCACTTCCTCCCCATAGTTAACCTCTTCCCTGTGTCCTTCCCTCCATATACTCCTGCCCTCTGAGCTGTCTGTGCATAAACACCCATTCTTTCCCCCATGATTGTTTTCTCCAAGGAGTGTATCTACTTCCGGTACATGTTCAACTCATATGCCTGTGTTTTGTTTGGCTGGAAGCCACAGGTGTGGGTTCAATTCCAGACCTGAAGAGCAGCTAGGGGCCATAGTCTCAGTGGTTCCACCAGGCTCCATCAGAGCAGCAAACCTGGTCCCCCCTCCTTTTTTTTTCTTTCCCAAATGATTTTGAGTTTTGTTCCACATTGTTCTCCCACTCTATCCAGGATTAAAGAGCAAAGATATTACTTTTAAGACTAAGGTGCACCTAATCCAAACCATGGTATTTTCAAGTGCATCATGAATGTGAGAGCTGGACAATGAATAAGGAAGACTGAATGAGAGTTGATGCCTTTGAATTATGGTGTTGGTGAAGAATACTGAAAGTACCATGGATTGCCAGAAGAACAAACAAATCTGTTCTGGAGGAAGTGCATATGGAATGCTCCTTGGAAGCAAAAATGGCCAGACTTTGTCTCACCTACTTTGGTCATATTTTCAGAAGGGACCATTCCTTGCAGAAGGATATCATGTTTGGTAAAGTGGAGGGTCAGTGTCAACAAGATGGATTGACACAGTGGCTGCAATGATGGACTCCAGTTATAGCAAGGATGGTGCACATCCGGCCAGTGTTTCATTCTGTTGTGCATAGGGTTTCTATGTGTCAGAGCCAACTCACTGGCATCTAACAACAACAATATATGAGATCAAACTGACAACAGTGACTCAAAAGATTAGATAGGAAACTTAGGGAACAGCGAGTTTATGTTAATAGGGGAGGTACACTTTAGAAAAAGAAGGTAAGAAAGGTTATACAACTCAGTGTCACTGAATTGTATATGTAGAAATTGCTGAATTGGTATATGTTCTACTGTGAAAAATAAAATATATTTTAAAAAAATAAAATTGAGAGGAAAACTGCAGAGTGGTTGCAGTTAATATGAGACATCACTTTACTACCTATATCAGAGCAGCTTGTTTAATGCTGTTTGACTGCCCCCTAACAGATTGCACACCAAAGGCATCTGAACAGCTTTGAAAACAATTCAGAAGCCCAGACTTCTCCCACACCTGCTGAGTTAGAATCTCTGGGGCCAGAGCCCAGAAATCTATATTTCCTAAGAGCACCTCCAGGGAGTCTAAGGTATTTGAGAATCACTTGTTCCAGGACAGTGTTTTCCCCAACTTGTTTGATGATGTGAACCCACTGGCATGTTTGTTAAATATAGAGATTACTAGGCCTTTACCTGGGAGCTCTGGTAGCATAGTGCCTAAGGCATTTGACTGCTAACCAGAAGCCTGGCAGTTCAAACCCACCAGCCACTCCTTGGAAGGAAGATGGGGCAATCTACTTCCATAGTGATACTGCCTTGGAAACCCAAGTCGGGTCCG